TCTCAACACCATCGTCATCAGGATAAGGTAGCCTGAGATTCTTTGGTTCTTGTACGTTTTGTAATTACACTACAAATTCCTCTTGTTCCTATCTATGTACTGCTTATGTTAACCATTTTAATGGGTAGGTTTGTGATAGACAACAATAAAGCTAGGTGTTACAGATCGCAAGGAGGGCACATGGGTAGAATAACACAATTCTTCAGCTTTTAAATATATAATTTTGAAAAATAACAAAAAATAAAGAAAGCAAAAATTTAGCTTTGAATTTTTTCGTGATTAATGGCCGAAGTCGACCCCATAGAGGACCAAGGTAATGCCATGTTTGCGTACCATATTTGAGCAAATTTACAGCGAACAGAAGATGTTGTTGTATTTTATATAACAGCAGATAAGCAAACTCAGTCACAGATCACGATCCGGTGCTCGACACGTCTTCCTCCTTATCCATGCAGCTACCTGGAACGCGAACCTTTTCATTTATTCGGAAACTCAATCACCGACAAAACTGCGGTGATACGGTTTCCGTCCTCTCTTTTGATTGGTGTAAATTAATCAGGGGGATAATAGAAGCACTTACGGAGGTGGCACCGCTTTCCGGTGAAGGTGGTCAGTTCGCAGGCACAACGTAATGAAGTCCAGACCTGCAGGCAGATACCGTCGTTGAGACAGTAGGGCAGCTCCTGGCTTCCATTGGCGTAGTCAGAGCTTTGACCACAGGTGGGAGCATTCGCCGGACGCTGAAAGCAACCAGGCACCACCTGCCATTGACAGTCGGGTGTGGTTTTATTTGCACCGAAGGTTGACTCAGCCAGACCAAAGATGTCGATTTCGGTGTCATTGTTGATGCCAAAGTTTCCAATGCAGCCCTAAGCAAGCATAATAATATAAAGCATAGCAGAATATGCATGCGAAATCGGATAATTCACTAGGCGATTATTTATATATTAAAATGAGAATGAGTGTGGCTCTAAGAATACTTCTGTCATTCGCATTTTCGAGAACTAGGCAAAGGACAAAGGCATGCCATGCTCCATTCCTTGCATTTATATGAAAGTCATGGGGAAATGGGTGAAGTGGTAGGATGGAATGCAAAATACTGTCACGAAGTGATCTTCTCTATTCAGAGCGTCCCTCCAACGTGCTGCGGAAGCTAAAGCTAAATCTTTGTAATTTATTACATTACATTCTGTACTTACTAGTTATACAGTAGGTTGCCAAACTCATGCAATCCTACGATTTTTACAAGTAA